AAGTTCTAATATCAGATTTGGCTCTCTCAAGTCCTAAATCTACTATCCAATAATTTAACCTATCGATCTCTCAACCTAATATATTAAAATATCAAACGCATTAACGATCACTATCACAGTTCCTAAACCGATTAACCTATCTCTCAAAAGACTCGCAGCGATCTCTCGACGACGATTCTTCAATCTGTGCTCCCGGGAAACTCCGTCTTGATTCTCTCTCGAGTTCTCTGGCTTTTCTGCTGTGATCTCTCGATAATTTCTGAAGCCCAAGACGTCTTCTATTTATTTGCTTGGCAGCTGGGCTTCTTCCTTTGCTGAAAACGGAAGTCCGGATGCAAAATAGGAAGGTTTCCCGTAATGCAACACGGCCGTGTCGAATGCAACACGGTCCGTGTCAATTCTCTGTTAAAAATCTGCACTTTAGACTTGGGCTGAACACGGCCGAGTTTGAATCAACACGGCCGTGTCGAATGACAACACGGTCCGTGTCAATTCTCTGAGCAAAACTTCACTTTTTTCAGCACGGACACAACACGGCCGTGTCGAATGCAACACGGTCCGTGTCGATTCTTCAACTCGAACATGCTTGACAGATTTGCTCATAACTTTCTGCTCCAATGTCGGATTTGTGCGATCTTGGTGTCTATGCGTAGATATTGAAGAGAGCTTTCCAATGAGGTAGAGAACATGCAATTTGGACTTGTAGAGTGGAAGTTATTGGACTTGCAAGATCTGACTTTTTAGGCTTCATGTTTTTCTCCGGAACAACTCCAAATGTTCCCGTTTCGTCTGTGATGTTCCGTAGTCCATGTTTTCCACTCTTTTTGCTCTCTTTTATGCATGAATACCTGTTTTGACACCAAAGAAAGCAACCAAGCAATATCGAGACCAATTGTGCTCTAGAATGCCTATAAATATGCAAAACCGAGTAAATGCACTAGACATCCTATACCAAAATGTCACCAAAATACATGTCATCAGTTTTCAACTTGAATTTTCCACTCTGTAAATTTTCTGAAAGCTTCATTCTTTGCTTTCAAGGGGTATATCCATACCTTTCGAGTAAAGTCATCAATGAAGGAGACAAAATATTGGGCTCCTCCTAGTGAACTTTGAACATTAGAAGATCCCCATAGGTCCGAGTGTATATACTCTAGAGGCCTTTCTGATGTATGCTTTCCTTTTTGGAAACTCAATCTGTGAGTTTTCCCCAAAACACAATCTTCACAGAACTCCACCTGTTTTACTTGTTTGCTATCGAGAATGCCCCTCTGTGTTAGCAGTTTCAGACCCTTGTTACTCATGTGCCCGAGTCTTCTATGCCATAGGACTGTTTCGTCCCTATTCTCTGCAACCTAGGATTCTGTTATGAATGTGCTTCCATCAAGTATATACAATCCTCCTTCCAATTTTCCTACCAGAACTTCTACTGATCCTTTGCAGACTTGCAGTTTTCCATCCTTTAATCTGAAATCGAAACCTTGTTTGTCTAGTGAACCCAAAGAGATTAAATTTCTCTTCAACTCTGGTATATATCTCACTTGACTTAGTATCCTGAGCTTTCCATTGCTTAGTCTGAGCTTGATTTTCCCTATTCCTTTAACTTGACAGATTCCGCTATTTCCCATTAGGACTCTTCCTCCTTCCGAGAATTATAGGTCAGAGAACCACTCCTTTCTTGGACATATATGGAATGTGCATCCGGAGTCAAGAATCCACTCATCTGATGGATCCTTATCTGTCACTGCCAGAACTTCTGATTCCAGATCAGTTCCTGAGGCTGCAGCAGCCTCTCCTTGACCCTTATTTTGGTTTTCCAGAAACCTTTTTCTGTTTCTACACTCCTTGAAATGACCCTCCTTTCCACAAAACCAACATCCTGTTTCAGACTTAGCTTTTGCACCAGTTTTTGTCTTTCCTTTTGGTTTTGTTTTACCTTGTTTCTGCTTCTGGTTCTTGTTAAACTTTTTGTCTGGTTTACTTCGAATTAGAAGCCCTTCCCCTGAACTTGGCTTCATTTTTGCCTGAAACTCAAGTTCTTTGGAATATACTGCTGAGGTCACTTCTTCCATACTCATATCATCCTTTCTTGAGTATTTGAGAGTATCTCTTAGTTGTTCATATTTATCTAGCAGAGCGTTTAGTAAGTGCATTATTTGATCTTCCTCTGAGATCTCAACCTGCAGACAAACCAGATCATCTATCATCTTTCTAAATTGATCTAAGTTGTCTTCCATGGACTTATTTTCGTCCATCTTGAAGCTATACAGCTTTTGCTTCAAATACATCTTGTTTGGCATGGTTTTATGTAGAAATTCCTTTTCCAATGCTCCCCAGATGCCTGAAGCAGTCTGTTCATGCTTCACCTTTCGCATAACTTGATCTGCCAGGCACATCAGTATCAAATTGCGAACCTTTCTACTCATCTCATACCGAGATTCGTATGTCTCTTTGGATCCATCTTCCTGATCAACCCCGACTTCTTCCTTTAGAGATTCTGATTTCTTGAGCAAGTAATTTTCTGATAGAACCTTGTGCAATCTGAAAATCTCCAAACTAGCCAACACTTTCTCTTTCCACAATGTGAAGTCCCCTTTTCCATCATACTTTTCAACATCGAGTTTCACTATTATCGGAGTTGACGCCATTTTCTTGGTTTCAGGTCCCTTTCTCTTGATCTTCGATCAAGGTTTGAATTCTTCAACAGATTCTGTTGTCTTTTCATGACCTGCAATCAAATCTTCAAAGAATTCACCAATTCACAATGCAAGATTGTGAATTACCTGTTTTGGTGAGAAGAGTTGTATCTTCCCTGGATCGAAACCGTGGCTCTGATACCACTTGTCAGCTGCTACCATCCGATTCTGAGCTCACACGATGAACGCGAAAAGACCGAAACAAAAGAACACCAAAAGCTTTTACGTGTTCGGATCGGTGAAAGGATCCTACGTCACGGCCGAGGGATAAGCTCAGCAATCCACTAGTCTCTTCTTGTTTACAAGGTTCGACGAATTCATAGAAGACCGAATTCGCCGGAGAACGATTGATCGAAAACAAACAGATTAGAGGTTGAAGAAGAAGTCATCGAGTTTCCCCTGAAACTCACATGAATATATACCCAGCCCAGAACCAAAACGGAATTAACAACCTGAATCTCATTCTTTACAAAACTACCCTTAAACCCTCTAAACCACCCAGAGTTTTTAGTGCGTGACCAGAAAATCAGGAAACCTCTGATTCCATCAGAGTTTTCTTCTGATCTTTGTCACCCACCAACAGAATGGATATTTATTTGCTCCATATTCCTTGGTAGGGGTGGGCATTTCGGAAAACGGTTCGGGTTCGGTTTTTCGGTTTACAAAAAATAGATACCAGTCGGTTTTTATATTATGTTTGGTTCGCTTCGCTTTCGGTACTGGTTCACTTTGGTTCTGATTTTTATTTTAAAAAAAAGACAGATTTCTTTTAAAACATTTCGGTTTTTTAGGATTTTTTAAAGTTCGGTTCGGTTCTGTTCAGTTTCGAAAAATTCAGTTCCCTAAAAATAATACCGTTCGAAAATTTAGAACGGTTCAGATCGAAAAAAATACCGTTTTTTCTGTTCGTTTCGGTTCCGAATCGAAACGTTCAGCCCTATTCCTTGGGATAGGCTCATTTCGTGGAACAAAACATTCTCTTAATTTCAAAAATATACATGTGTAGTGTACATTATCTTTATTAAGAAAAAAGAAACACCATTTATTTCTTTAACGAAGCACTCTAATTTTTGTATACAACTGTAAAAATATGAATAGACGGAAATAATTATTTTTTATTGATAAAACAACAAAGAGATGCATAGTTTTATTGTGTAATAACAAATATTCAAATAATTAACAAAAAAAATCATATATGATATAAAACGCGGCCAGTGACTCTTTCCTGCTCTGTGGTGAACGTATAAAAAAATAATCTATACTAATGAGCCTGAATATATAATGTATTAATTAATTAAAGAAATGTAATAAATAAATAGAAGGAAAAAAAAAACAATGGAGTGAGACACCGGTAGCCGTTAAACCGGAACGTATGCTGCAAAGCGGGCGAACCACCGATACATTAGTGACCAGGACCACTCGGGCTAGGACCCGAGGGCTTAATACTTCCGAGTGTATTCCTTCGGTCCGTGAATTTATGACCTTCGCCCGGACTCGGACCAGATTGCTTGATGGATCCGAGCGACAGACCGTCGAAAAAACCGGCCACAAGCTTCTCCCCGGCCTCTGGTAAGCCGAGCGGACGAGCCTCCACAAGAACAGAACCCATCACCATGAAGAAGAGAACGGAAGCTATGACCTTTTTCATCATCTTGGGAAGAAAATGTGCGTCAATGGTGATTTAGGGTTTCAGACAGTGAAGAAATGGATTTGCTGGTGTGGAGATGAAGAAGGAGGGGAGGGCTTAGCTTTATAGTGTCGGAGGGGGGAAGTAAAGGTTGAATTTTTCAGATGGAGTACACACTATTTTTATGACTTTGGAATTCAACCAAAACACATTATATTTTGAATTTGCTTCATCATGGGAAGACACCATGTTGCTTCCTTAAGTGTTTGTCTTTTACAAATTGTTAGAGAATTTAAAAAAAAAAAAACTGAAGAATGATCCTAGAAGAAACATGTGTTCGGTTTTGTTCTTATCTAATTTCGGTTTAATTCTCGTTTATTGTAATTTTATTTCAGATTTGGTTTATCTTGGTTTGATAAATTTGTGTTGCTCTTAAAATATCCACTTGTGTGAATCAAAAGATAAACCAGAATTAAACTGAAATTAAACAATAATCAAACCAATAAGATATGAAACGGGTATTAATCTATGGGAGAATGGACAAATCGTCGGTTGAATATTTGGTAGCAGACGGCAGCCGGGTTTGGAACTTTAAGAGCAGACACTTGGACCAAAGACCAAAGACCAAAGCCTCCTCCTACTAGTACTAGCAATTGTACTTATAAAAGTGTTTGAATTCCAGTTTTTTTTCAAGTTTTTGTTACGTCATCAATTCTGTGCTTTGCAATTTTGTTTTGAAAACGTTAGAAACCTTATATTTATATTGTTTTGGATATGGACATGACATAAAGTCGAACTTGCTTGGGATTTGGATCGGATTAACTTATTTGGGCCCTAAATGGGCTGTACTAAACATTAAACAGTGAATGGAATCCAACCGTTTAATGGGCTCATAAATAAGTAATTCATTCAACTGCCATGTCATCACTTTCATTGAAGTGGTTTATAATTGGAAATCTTAAGATTCATTTCTAAAATCTTAAGGATATGTTACCAAAATCATGAGATGAGTCGTAGATTGAGTTACCAAAATCATGAGATGAAATTAATTAACTATTAAAACAATACTCACTATATAAACACATGACAATTCCACAGCTTCATTGTCTTTTTAAAATAAGCAAGATTCATATAAACAATACATTTACCTAAAACAAAAGAGAATGGGGTGCCGTGGAGATGAAGTAACCCATGTTCTAATGGTGACACTGCCGATGCAAGGCCACATTAACCCGATGCTGAAACTGGCCAAACTCCTCGTGCCAAGGAACGTCCACGTCACCCTCGCCACCTGCGAACAAGCTCGTCTCAGTCTCTGCTCTGGCAGAATCCATAACCCGTGGTTGGATCTTGCTTTCTTCTCCGACAACTTGGACGACGAAACCAGAACCAACGAGACAATGCTGCAGTCTCTGAGTCTGGTCGGCCACAAGAACTTGTCCGAAGTCATCACAAATCTCAGCACGGACAAGAAATTCTCTTGCGTAATCTCGAGCGCTTCCACCCCCTGGGTTCCTGGAGTTGCCTCTGCTCATGGAATCCCCTGTGCCGCTATCTGGACCCAAGCCTGTGCGGTTTTCTCGGCTTACTACCGTTACTACACGAACCCTAGCTCCTTCCCTGATCTCAATGATCCAAATCAAACCCTTGAACTACCAGCATTGCCATTGTTGAAGGTCAGAGACCTTCCATCGTTCATGCTACCTTCCGGCGGGGTTTTTGGGAAGATGTTGGCGGATGTCTTCGATTGCTTGGTTAGCGTCAAATGGGTTTTGGTCAATTCGTTTCAAGAACTCGAATCAGACGCAATCGAATCGATGTCTGGTCTGAGACCCATAATCCCAATCGGTCCACTGGTTTCGCAGTTTCTTCTTAAAGAAGAAGAAGAAGACGAGGTTCTGAGCGGGGAAACCCTGGATCTGTGGAAATCAGAGGACTCTTGCATCGAGTGGCTCGACAAGCAAGCTCCGTCATCAGTGATATACATATCCTTCGGGAGTATACTCAAATCGTCGGAGAATCAGATAGCGAGCATAGCGACGGCACTCAAGAACAAGGGGAAGCCATTCCTCTGGGTGATAAGGCCGATAGAGAGGGCACTAAACAACGCCGTGTTGCAGGAGATGGTGGGGGAAGGGAGAGGGAAGGTGGTGGAGTGGGGACCACAGGAGAAGGTGCTGGGCCACGTGGCGATTGCCTGCTTCGTCACGCACTGCGGCTGGAATTCGTCCCTCGAAACGGTGGTTGCGGGTGTCCCAGTGGTGGCTTACCCGGAGTGGACGGACCAACCCATGGACGCGTGGCTTCTGGTCAACGTGCTCGGCATCGGAGTGCGGATGAGGAACGGCGGCTGCGGAGAGCTGGAGACGGCGGAGGTGGAGAGGTGCATTATGACCTTTT